TCAAAGAAAAGAGGTGCAAATAAAAGATAAGAAAGGGTCGATCATGTTACCAGGGCCTCTGGTGCATTCCCAGCTTGCACAGTGCTGGGAAGATTGTGCTCTTCTTTTTATCAGTCTGGCTGGCTCGCTGCCTCAGCTTCCCTATTCCTGCCTCTTTCCTGGTCTCCCGAGTGCCTGCTACTTGCAAATCTCCATACCAGCATCATGCTGGCACCTTTCCCTGCTGCCTGAATACTACCAAACTATTTAAATCCAACTGGAGCTATAAAATCAGAAGCTGTACAGCTCTCTTCTGCAAAATCACATGTCAGCCAGCATTTACCACCAAAAAGGAGGAAGATGCATGACCTGGTTTATCTTGCAGGTGTGTTTTGGTGGGCTTCCTCTCCCTCTGCAGTTTTAATCCTCCTTGCTGCTTTGCTCAGAAAACATCACCTGCAGCAAAAGAAACGACGAGAGAAAACAATGACCCCTTGGAGGGAAAACCCCACCATGGTTCCCTGGCAGATGGTGCCGGGCACTGCTCCACTCCTGGTAGCAGATACCCCGCATCCACCACAGTACCCAGCACAGCTTTTCTGGGGCATCCCCCTGTGCTCTGTCCAGCTCTGCACCTGGAGCGGGACGTGCCGGTGGCTGCTGACGCCTCTGCCCCCAGATGCGGCTCCTGCCGGGGGTTTTGTTTCCGTCGCTCTCCTCCCGGATCTTTCCTGTTTCCTTCCGTGCAGATGCGACCGGAGGAAATCTCAGCGACTTGGCTTTCCTCTGGCTGTGTCCCAGCTGCGGTCACAGGCTGGGGACAGCACTGTGGCTCTCTGTGTCCTGGGACCTGTCCTCCGTGGCAGCGATGGCAATGGTGGCAGTGGTGACACTGGTGGCAATGGCAGCAGTGGTGGTGCTGGTGGTGGTGGTGACACTGGTGGGAGTTTGGTGACACTGGTGGCAACGGTGGCAGTAGTAGCAGTTGGTGGCAGTGGTCACTGTGGTGGCAGTCATGCTGGCGCTGGTGGTGGCAATGGTGACTGGTGGTGCTGCTGGTGCTGCTCATGCTAGTGGCAGCAGTGACGCTGGTGGCAGCGGTCACACTGGTGGCAGTAGTGGCGGTGATGGCAGTGGTGGTACTGCTGGTATTGGTGGCAGTGGTGCTGGTGACAGTGGTGGTACTGCTGATACTGATGGCAGTGGTGTCAGTGGTGCTGCTCATGCTGGTGGCATTTGTGGCAGTGGTGGTGCTGCTCATGCTGGTGGCAGTGGTGACAGTAGTGGTGCTGGTGGGCAGTGGTGGTGGTGCTGGTGGTGGTGCTGATCTAGTGTGCAGCCAAGCCTCACAGACCTGCTGCCCGTGGTCACACATACCAGTGACGGCAGTCCTGTGCAGAACTGCTACGTGGTAATAACTGGGACTGCTCAGAAACGTGCATTCAGTTTTCAGGATGGTGGAAGTGCTTATTGCAGAGGTGGGATTGGGAGCAGGGAGAGCAGGACTTGATCAGCCTTAAGGGGAAAAGGCTGGTTGATGTCTTGCTACAGGGGCTGGAACCAGGAGAGAGGTCAAGGAAATGCAATACAGATGGGTGTTTTGTTGTATTTCTCTGAAGGTGAACTTTGAATGGGGGATGTGCTCACTCAGAGACAGCTATATTTATATACGGGTGAGATACATATTCTTTGGGTGAGCAAGAGCCTTTGTTCCGAGTCCCGCTGCTAAAGCCCACGTGGAGCAACAGTTTGGCTCTGCAAAGCTTCCTTTTCCTTTGCTTGGGGAGTTGCTGTGTTTAGAAGAACCTGACTCCAGCAGCTGCATCCCGCTACCCCGTGTACCCGCAGCACAGCCTTCAGGTCTGGCACTTGCTCACTGCTCCAGCCAAGCTCTTCCATTAACTGTGTGAAGAAGACCTGACCTTCGTTTTGCATCTGGTTGCCATGAGGAAGAGCAGCCTCATCCCTGCTGTTGCAGGATCTGTCCCTGGACAGCTGGGACAAGGCCAAGACATGTGTGTAATGGATCTGCCACACTGCAAAGGAGTATTTTGGAGACCCCTGTGATCCCCTCTGATTTGGGGTGTAAGACAAGGAGATGATGGATCAGTGGTCCCCATCTCCAGAGCAGCATCCTTCATTGCTCCCTTGCCACACCAAAGTGTGTTCACTGAATCCTCACAGGGCTCTTGGCTGCTCAGGTTCTTGTGGAAGAAGCAGAAACTTCCACAGTCCTGGTGCAAAAAGAATTATAGAATCACTAAGGTTGAAAACCTGAGATCATTGAGTCCAACCACTAACCCAGCACTGCCAGGTCCACCACTAATTGCCACATCCATGTACCTTTTGATCATCCCAGGTATGGTGATTCCACCACTTCCCTGGGCAGCCTGTTCAAGTGCCTTACCACCCTTTCAGGGAAGAAATTTTTCCTAATATCCAATCTGAACCTTCCCTGGCACAATTTGTGGCTGCTTCTTCTCACCCTGTCGCTTTGTTACTTGGGAGAAGAGACTGACCTCCACCTGGCTACAACCTCCTTTCCTCAGGCTTCCCCCTGATGGGTGTGAGCCTGACAGGCCAGCGCTGCACTGCCAAGCATCCTCATCCAGGGCTTGTTCACTGTGTCCTCACATGCTTCCTCTGGATCCCCCATAGCACTCAAATAAGAAGGATTTATGTATGCTTGGCAGGTTATTAATATTAGCTGAAATTCCCTTTTCCACATTGTTCTGCAGTGCTTAATATGGAGATCAGCGCCTCAGCCTGTAGCGCCGGGGATGATTTGCAATTGAATATCCATTAGGGATTTATGGGCTTCGGGGCTGAATTGCTGAGACGTGCAAGTGCCAAAATACTTGAAACGCTTCCATTGGAGAGAAGAGACCTTGTGGGAAAGGAGCACTGGCTGTTCCCGTACGCAGGCGGTTCCCACTGAACCTCTGTTACTGGCAGCGAGCACACCCAAGCCAGTAAAAAACTGTGTGGGATCCGGAGCGCCGATGGAGCATGAACTGTGTGTTGGATGGGTGGCAGGGAGTGAGCCACTGCTCCTGGTGGACACTGGTGCTCACAGCGGCTCCCAGTCCGACAGGGTTGCTCAACGGGTGGGATTAATCCAGGACACAGTTAAACATGGGCACAGTTCATATTAACGTGTCTCTGCAGCCTCTTAAAACAAGGTATGAGGTTGTTTGGAAGGAGAATTTGCTGTTGTTCCTTGAGCACCTCTGGTGTAGTGTTTCAGATCTGAAGGGGCAGAAGGCAAGATATCATTAAGCAAAGTGGAAGTTGGAAGAGCCAGGAGCCAAAAGCTTTAAAAGGAAAGGCAAAAGATCCTCAAGTCCTTTGTTTGAGAAAGTGGGTTTACAAGGGATGTTCTGGGGCTATACCTGCTTTGCATCAGCTCTTCCCTTTGAGCAGGCACCTGTGGCTGCCCATCCCTCCCACCTCCCATCCCTCTGGAGGGTTTTAACCTCTGTTTTCCTTTAAGTGAAAAAGATGAACCTTGCTGAGGGGTTTGCCAGCAGGTTTTCTTTGGGAAACATCCACTAGCTGGGCGGCTGGTTCTTTTCATGATTGTGCTGGCCCTCAGCTCAGCAGCTGGACGTGTAGTAGCCACATAGCCAAAACTAGCCCAAAATTACCCTCCAGAAATACCATATGGAGTCTTATCCAGCCATGGTGATATCATCTCAGGGGGAAGCAGACCCCACAAACAAAAGTGATGGGTGGGATCATCACTGGAAAAGTGTGGCGAACACCAGGGGAAGAGCAGGTTTCCCAGCCCATCATGCAGGATTGTTGCAAAGTTTGAGCAAAGATTCCAGCTGCTGTGGTCCAGGTGGGGAGGGTCAGCTACCTTGGGAGTTTCGGCATTGTCTGCTCTGAATCACACCTAAAGTGCTGCTAGGAAGCCAGGTCCTGCCTTGCTCCCGTACTTCAGCCAAGTACGGAAGCCAAGCTTTCTGCCTCTATGAGCTGCTGAAATCTGATTTCCTCAATGGGAACTGGAAATTTGCCCCCAGAATGTCCCACTCATCCCCTGCAGCCTAAGTAGGGTTTGAACTTTGCAAGAATATCCCTGCAGGGCTCTGGAGTAGCATTACCCCATTTTTTCTGGGCAAAAAAAAATTAGTCAGGAGTGATGGAACATGGTCGATGGGAAAAGTCCATGATTTTAGCAGCCAGACTGGGCACATTCAGCAGAGCAGCCCTGCTTCCCCTGAATCCTCACCTGGCTTTTTTTCCCCCTTTGCTATTTGACTTTTTCATTCCTGGGTGCCACTGGAGAAGCAGGAGCTGGCGAGCAGGTTGTAAATGCTGCTCAGGCATGGAGGATCCCATTGTCAGCACCCAGGTGCTGTGATGAGCTGGTCAGTGCTCAGCTCACCTCCCTGATCCCACCTGTCTCGTTACATCAGAGTAAAACAATCCAGAGGGAAAGTTTCTGTCTGCTGGGGCATCGTGAGGAGAGGTGAGGGGGTGCCTGCTGGCCTGGCTCGAGTTACTTATGTGCTTATGTTCTATTTTGAGGCTCTGGCCAGGCGACTCTAAGCAGCCTCTGACCAGGGGAAGGAGCAGCTTCAAAACAAGAGTCCGGTGGGTAACAACCTGGGGAGGCCCCGGGTTTCCCTCAGCTCTGAGTGGGGCTGACAGAGCCCTCACCTCCACCCAGGGCCCATCATCTCTTGGATTTTGGCGTTTCCACAGTGGGAATTGATTTATTCTTTTTTTTTTTATTTCCTCCTGTTGCCATCCTTGAAGGCAAAGATGCCACAGGTACAGAGCTAGAGTACTTTATAGGGAGCGATGTGCCGGCAGTGTGGTGATGCAGATGAGCAAGCAGGGAGACACATCCACCACTAAAGCTAGTGAAATCATACACATGTGACTCCCTCCTCTGCCTCCCCTCCCCAAGAAAGCTCATTTGCAGGCGGCTTAGTTCTCCTAAGAGCATTAGAGGTGCATTTGGTAGACATGAGCCGCTCGAGCAGCGCCGGGAGCATGTGGCCGATTAGGGGCAGTGGCAGCTGGTTTCAGGCACAGCAGGCATTTGGGGTGGAAATACTCTGTGCTTTCCAGGGACGCAAAGGTGAGGTCTGGGGGGACAGGGTGGGTGTCAGGGTCGGCTTGCGTGGCTTGGGTGCTTAAATCCTCCAGTGGATGTAGATGTTGGGTGGCACAGGAGAGAGAACAAGCCCTTCCCTGCCATGTGCTTTTCCCTTCTGTCTAACTGTGAGTTACCTCCTCTGGCTTTCCAGTGCTATTTCAGCTCTTCAGATGATATTTCAGTTTTATTTTTAAATACCACCTCACTTTCTAATCTGTGATCTTCTGCGAAGATGAGGATGAACAAACTGGTGAAGGGACTGGAGCACAAGCCCTGTGAGGAGCGGCTGAGGGAGCTGGGGTTGTTTAGCCTGGGGAAGAGGAGGCTCAGGGGAGACCTTCTCACTCTCTACAACTCCCTGAAAGGAGGTTATAGCCAGGTAGGGGGTCCATCTCTTCTCCCAGGCGACCAGCAGTAGGACAAGAGGGCACAGTCTTAAGCTCTGCCAGGGGAGTTTTAGGTTGGATATAGGGAAGAAATTCTTTACAGAGAGAGTGATCAGACATTGGAATGGGCTGCCTAGGGAGGTGGTGGATTCACTATCCCTGAAGGTGTTTAAGAAGAGACTGGATGTGGCACTTAGTGCCATGGTCTAGTTGACAAGGTGGTGTTGGGTCAAAGGCTGGACTTGATGATCTCAGAGATATTTTCCAACCTAATTGATTCTGTGATTCTGCAATCAGTGATACTGGTATGGGTTGTGGTGGGTGATGGTGCCTTCAGAGGTACCCCCACCAAGCAGGGGCTTCCTTGAGGAGCACACTCTCACCACAGTGTTTCCCTTTCCCTCCTCTGCAGCCTCGCTCCCTGCTGGGATTTATGGAGGTGCTGAGGAGCAGCTGTGATCCCCGCAGCCCCCGGCAGTGCACCCTGTGAAACAGTGCCCGGCTGCCCTCACCTCGTCCCGCCCGGCATCCCGACCCTCCGACTCAACCATTCACGGCTCCCGTGCATGGATCGCCCCAGCGAGGCACCGCTGCCGGACGCCGCCGACGCCGCCCCGTAGGCTCCCGGCCCCCCGTGCCACCCCCAAGTACTCCACATACCCCGATGGGGTAACGTGACGGAGGCCACCCTCCCGCCACCACCACCCCCCATATGCAGAGGCCTTTCTAGAGCGCCCGGGAGCGCGCAGCGCTGGAGGCGGCGGCCACTCGCCGTCGCACACACACACCGAGGACACCGACACTACAGCAAAGGGATTTCTTTTTTTTTTTTTAATTATTATTATTATTATTATTATTATTATCATTAATATTATTTTTTTTCCTGCCTGGCTTTTCCCTCCTCCCTGGGGAGGGGGCTTGCGGTGTGTCAGGAAGCCGGCGCGCTCCCACAAGCTGGGATTATTTGCACAACGTCTGTATATTGAGTTCTCGATCCTGTTTTATTTTTATTTTTGAAGCGCTAAGGGGTTGCTGGGGGGGAAGTGGGTTGGGGTTTTTTTGCCCCTCCAAGCCACACTTTTCTGGGGCTTTTCCCCCGCCGCTGTCAGCAGCACCTCACCCTCCCCCTGTCCCACCATGGCCCGGATGAACCGCCCTGCGCCGGTGGAGGTCTGCTACAAAAACATGAGGTTCCTCATCACCCACAACCCCACCAATGCCACACTCAACACTTTCTTGGAGGTAAGGAGGGGAGACTGGAACAGGGGACCGGGGTCCAGCTGCACCTTTTGGGGCTAAAAACTGATGCTGAGATGCAGCCAGGATCAGTCCTGTGTAAATGAGGCAGCGGCACTTCCCCTTTGATACCACGGCCCCTGGTGGCATCCTGAGGCAGTGGGTATAATCACTGCCAGCTTTTTGAGGTGGGATGTTTTGGAGGACCCCAAGCATCATGTTTGGGCACTGTAGAGATGGAGAAAGTTTCTCCATTCCTGTTACATCCCCTGCCAAGTCCACTGGGACATCATGTCATGGGGCTTTGCAGCAATGCATGTAGATGCACACACGCAATCCCCAGCATCTCCCAGCACCTCAGTAATGACTTTTCATCCGAAATATCCCAGTGTATTTCCAATGCCCAGAGTGTGTTGGGTGGTGCTGGAGGGTTTGGTGTTGCATGAGCCAGCAATGGCGTCCTGCCTGGGAACTCAGCATCTGTGTGAGTGCCACTGGCTCAGAGAGCCATGGGAAGGTGGTTGTGGTTTGGGGACAGCTACCCCATACCCTGCACACCGTGGGGACCACACCAGTGGGAAGGGAGAAAAATTCCCCTTTCCTCCGGCTGCTCAGATTTTTGGCTGAGCTGCCGAGCGTGCGGGGGGTTCAGCACGGTCTGGTGAGCTCACACGGGGAACAAAGGGGGTGGATCATGGACAGGGATGATCTCATGGTGCGAGGTCGGTACACCGGCACGTAATCTGGGGGCAATCCTTGTGCCGGGCAAAAAGCCATGCTGGAAACAGCCCAAATCCCACGCCTGAGCCTGCAGTGTGTTGGAGCGATGATGGGATAGCTCAGCAAGGCTGGGAAGGAGGCCCTGAGCCATCTGTGAGATGCTGAGTGTGATCGGCAGGGTGTCCTACGACCCCCCAGCCACCTCCCACCTGCATTTCTGCCATTTCTGCAGCAGGAGTGTGACATCAACAGGCACAAATAATTCCTCCTTCAGGGAACTTGCACTCGTGTTGGGGATGCTTCTTTGCCTGGGGTGTGATGTCTCTGCTGGTGTGGCTGTCAGGACTTAAAAATAAATTGCCCCACTGGCACTCATGACTCCAAGGAGTCATGAAGGTGCTGGTTGAAAATCCTACTGTGGCCGCTTGAGTTTGGTGTCCTGGGATTTCATGTTTCCTTGTGCCTCTCAGGCTGGATGAACCATAGGGGGTTTACTCTAGGGTCCAGAGATGGGGCATGGTATAACTTTAAGGTCTATAGTTGTCTGTGTGGTCATAGCAGGGCTGGGATATGTTGGGGTTAACTGGGGTGCAACTAGCAGGGTTTATTCAGACCTCTCCTTCTCCTTCCCTCCCCAGGACCTGAAGAAATACGGTGCCACCACAGTTGTGCGAGTGTGTGAAGTGACCTATGACAAGACCCCCCTGGAGAAGGATGGCATCACCGTCATGGTGGGTGGGCAGCAGGATGGTGCTTAAATATCTCATCTCTTGAGGCTGCTGAACACCCTGAGAGAGCAAAGCAGCATCACGCTCGCCCAGGAGCAGAGTTTGAAGGCCAGCTGAGCCGAGATGAGGCTGGTGCTTTAAAAAAAGAAGTGCTGCCCACACACCCGAAACTGTGACTCATCTGGCTGAGTCGGCAGCTGCCTTCCCTGCCTGTTGCTCAGGCTCTAAAGCATCCAGGGATGAGAGTGCCTGATCCCACGTGGAAGATGCGCGTGGTTCCCATTACCCGCGGCGTTATCTTATCCTGGGGGGGTGGTGTGAGGGTTCTCTGCTCTCCCAGCAGCAGGCTGGTGCAGCTGCAGGGATGAAAGGGAGCAGGCAGCAGGCTGGGAAAGGCAGAGCAGGCAGCTGCCTGGGCTGCATCTTGGCTGATAAGTAATTGGAGATGATGTCAGGCGTGATTGCCCTGCCAGGGAGTTCAGCTCCAGCTGGAAAGTAAGGCTCTGCTCATTATTTAGGGAAGGGTTTGGAAGTGCCTCATGTCTCCTGGGGTGGTCTGCTCTGTGTAGGTCCTCTTTATATAGCTCTCTCTGCATAATCCATATCCTAGAGAGAGAGCAAGCTATATCCTAGATTCTCAGGGATTATCCTATATCTCTGTAGATACAGATTCTGCAGATACAGATGTCTCTAGGTATAGATGCACTATCTCTATAGAAGATATCTTATAAAGATAGCTGTATCCTACTTACAGAATTCATATGGTGGAGATCATATCTGCTCACTTACACGCCAAATTTTCTGCCTTTTACCCCATTTCTAACTGGAGTCCTCCAGTCTGAGTTTCTATATCTAGGATATATGTACCTCTATACATCTCTTACACAGAGATATATCTGTATCTAGGATATGTTTTATACAGGGAGTTAGAGAAACTATATAAGATACTGTATAGAAACTAAATAGCTTGTATATCAAAGTTTCTATAACCATATAGAAACCATATAAGGCAAATCATATAGAGAGATATCTATATCCTAGCTATCTATAGCCAGATGTATCTATGTAGCTACAGATATATCTCTATATTTAACTATATCACTTATATCTGTATACATATTTGAGATATGTATATCTTGGCATATACATTTTTGGTGTATATATATAATTTTTTTATATATATGTATCTTGGTATATGTATTTGACACATATATATATCTATATCTATATATATTGGAACACAAGAATTATGAGGACAGTTGAGGGAGCAGAGGGTGTTTAGCCTGGAGAAAAGGAGGCTCAGGGGAAACCTTCTCACTCTCTACAACACCCTGAAAGGACGTTGTTGCTGGGTGGGGTCCTGTCTCTTCTCCCAGGTAACAAGCAATAGGAGAAGAGGAAATGGCCTTCAGTTGCACCAGGGGAGGTTTAAATTGGATATTATGAAAAATTTCTTCACTGAAGGGCTTGTCAACCACTGGAACAGGCTGCCCAGGCAAGTGGTGGAATCACCATCCCTGGAGGGATTTAAGAGACGTAGATGTGGCACTTAGGGACATGGTTTAGGGGTGGACTTGGCAGTGCTGGATTAATGGTTGGAACTGATGATCTCAGAGGGCTTTTCCAACCTTAATGATTCTGTGATTCTATATTTAGACTATGCCTATATATCCCATCCCTTTCTTCAGGGAAGAGAGCACAAGCCAGCTGAGGCCTGACTGCTGTAGCATGCCTGTTTGCCAGCACCCACAGCCACAGTCACCCCACATGTACAGGGATCCTGTCCCAGGCACACTCACTGAGTGGTTGGATGCTTCCTGTGCTTGTAGCTCCTCCATGTGCCACAGGGAATCCCAAGCAGCTTCTAAAGCTGGTGGCAGTCACCAAGTCATGCTGGAATGATGGAGCGGGTCCAGAGGAGGCCACAAAAATGACCAGAGAGCAGGAGCACCTCTGCTATGGAGACAGGCTGAGAGAGCTGGGAGTGTTCAACCTGGAGGTGAGAAGGCTCCAGGGAGACCTTAGAGCACCTTCCAGTGCCTAAAGGGGCTGCAAGAAAGCTGGAGAGGGACTTTTGACATGGAGACTGAGTGACAGGACAAGGGAGAACAGCTTTGAACTGACAGAGGACAGGTTTAGATAGACATAAGGAAGAAAGTTTTTGTCATGAGGGTGATGAGGCACTGGCACAGGCTGTCCAGAGAAATGATGGATGCTCCATTCCTGGAAGCGTTCAAGACCAGGTTGAATGGAACTTTGAGCAACCTGGTCTAAGTGGAAGGTGTTCCTGCCCATGGCAGGAGGTTGGACTAGGTGATATTTGGAGGTCTCTTCCAACACAACCCCATTCCATCACACCACAATGATTTTGTGGTGTGGTGCGTCCTCCCCAGTGCAAGCCTGGTGACCTGCACTCGTGACTGAAGTGGTGCTTTGCTGGCACTGTGGGGAGGAGGTGGCCTTGCAGGACAGGCACAGGCTGTGCAGGGTGGGCTGGCTCAAGCATTACAATACCCTGAAGCCCAGCATGCTCCTCTCCTAGCAAATCCCAGCAGAAATCACATTAGCTGTTCAAATAACGAAATGAAGCAGCTTATTTTGCCATCTCACACCAAGGATGACTCCAGCACAACAACTCAGTGACTTACTCCTGAAAAACTAGGATTAGGGCCCCTGGCCTCCCACCCTTCAGGGCTCACCAGGCCCTCCAGGAGATGCTGCCTTGCCTGTCCCTCTCCCGCTGCTGCATAGCAGTGGCCATGCTCCTTCTGCCAGATCTTATTTTGGGGGCAAAAATCCCCGTTTTGGAACACTTGGTTCTATCCACTTCTTCACCAAACTCGAATTTTGAGCCCCTGCAGGTTGAGGATGAAGCTCGGAAGAAGATGGGCTTTTTTTTTTTTTTTTGTCCCTTAAAAACCTTTCCTGAAGGTTTATGTTTAAATGGCCTCATTTGGAGGGGTCTGTCTCCCTGTCACTGTTTCTAGGGCTGTGTTAGGGGGTTCCCAGACCATTCTTTCGGCACTTGGGTGTTCCCCTTCCCATCCATGTGTTTCAGGAAGCTGAATTTTGGCACTACATCAGGCTCTGAGATTTCAGCCATCTCCAAGCTGCCTTTGCTCAAATTCCCTACGTGTCTTTGCGCTCCCAAGTGCTGGAATTAGATGGGAACTGGCGGGGGGGGGTAGGCACGCGGCCCCAAAGCTCAGTGAGGTCACCTGAATAGGGAGGGTGCAGGGTGTGGCCATCCTGGTCTGCAGAGGCAGGGGGGTCGTGGGGACCGTGTTGTAGATCCTGTGGGTGCTCCCAAAAACTGAACGTGTCCATAGGAGATGGGAAGACCCCAGACCTGGACTTGCATGGCTTCAAACCCTGAGCTGATGCAGCCAGGGAGTTCCTGTGTGCTGGATGGTGCCACAGAGCCCCACAGAGCTGCACTGTGAGCCCAGTTCCTGACACAGTCATCCAAGGGCCCAAACACTGTTAACCTGAGTAAAAAACAGCCCCTGAGAGTATTGACAGTGTTTCTCTCTTCCCCTGACCTTGCAGGATTGGCCCTTCGATGATGGAGCACCTCCTCCCAGCAAGATAGTAGAAGACTGGCTCAACTTGCTGAAGACCAAGTTCTGCGAGGACCCCGGGTGCTGCGTGGCCGTGCACTGTGTGGCTGGGCTAGGGCGGTGAGTCCGAGCTGAACATCCCTCCTGCCACCCCACTCGTGCAGAGAGAAGAGGGAAAACCATGCCTGCCCTCCTCCTTCCCTTCCCCAGTCCCCCTTTGAGCAGAGTTTTGTGAAACCTCACTGAAACCATGCTTGTGCTGCTCCTTCTCTTCCCCAGTCCCCCTCTGAACAGGGTTTTGTGAAACCTGAGTGGGAATAGGTGTTGGAATACAGGGCGGGATCTGAGCTGCCTGAGCTTCTCCTTGGAGTTTAAATGATGTGATGTCAGTGTGGCCGAGGAGTGACCATCATCTTTGCTTTTCAGTGCTCCTGTCCTTGTTGCACTGGCCTTGATCGAGAGCGGGATGAAGTATGAAGATGCCATCCAGTTCATCCGACAGTAAGTCCGGTGGTGTTTCATTGCTGGGAGAGAAAACAGCCCCTCTGTGAGGGAACAGAGAGATCTGATGTGTCCCAGGGGTTTTTTTTGGGGTTTTGTTTTTCTCTCCTTTTGGGGGAAGAAAAGGGAGGTGTTTGCATTCAGCACTCTGTACCTTTGGATCAGGGCTGCAGGAGGCTGTGGCAGCAGCTGGGAGCCTCCCTGGGGGGCTTTTGGCAGTCACCACTTCTGCCCCACGTGTTTCCTCCCCAGCTCTCCATGAGAGTCTCTCCATTGTCCTGAGACTTCCAGGGCGGATGAGAGAGAAAAGCTGCTGGAGGCAGTGCCTGTTCTCCATCCTTGAAGGATGCACGTGTCCTCATCCTCCAAAATCCCTTCCTGCTCCAGGCAGGGCGAGTTCAGCACCCTGACAGGGGTGGTTTGGGATGGGGAGGTCTCCTGCCACCCCACTGACCCTTCTCTGTCCCCGCAGGAAGCGCAGAGGAGCCATCAACAGCAAGCAGCTTACGTACTTGGAAAAATACCGACCAAAGCAGAGACTCCGATTTAAGGACCCTCACAACCACAAGAACAAATGCTGCATCATGTAACCTCAATGACCTCTTGCCAAAACCCGTGCACACAGACACCCGGGCACTCGCACACATCCCACCCCGTCACCCCCTCGCCCAGCCCTGCACTCCCCCTGCCACCACCAGGGCTGGGGTGGGGGACACGGAGCATCATCAGTGTGTTCCAGCACCCACAGCACAGCCCCAGAAAAGGCTGTTCTCTCCAGCTGCAGCCCCGAGGAAGGAAGGCAGCTCTGCCCATTGACTCTTGGCATTAGTAGGCAATGAGCTCGTGCGACAGTTCTTCATCACCTTCCTCCTCCTCCCTCTCACCTCCCCGTTGCACTGAGAGGGGCGGGTGAAGGGTGCTTGGTTTGGGGTGATGCAGGCAGGGCTGTGCCAGCTTAGAAGGGATGGGGGAGCCGGAGGGCCAGAGCACCCCTGGAAAAACTCTTTCCCACCTCTTCCTATAAATAAGGGCTGCAGCAGCAGGGAGGGAGGTGGGGATGGCGCGGTGGCCTCGGGGGGAGGTGGTGATGGCAGGGAGAGGTGACAGGGGCTCTTAGCTCAGTGCTGGCCTTGTGATCATGGGAAGGGCTGAACTAAGACCCCCAGCACTGTTCCCTTTCTCCTGGCTCCTCTGCCACTTCACCATCATCCTGTTGCCTCAATGCCAGCTGGGATGCTGCAGATGGGGCTCACTGGGGGTTTGCTGCAGTGAAGGCAGAGCCACTGGGGACCTTGGGGACATGTCAGGGCTTCGAAGCACCAGCTTTGCCAGGATCAGTGTAGGGTCAGCACTGAATCCCCCAAAGTGTTGGATGCTCTTACTTATAGCTTCCAAATTCAATGCACAGGGCAGTGGGTTCTCTGCTGTCATGTCCCCATCCCTGAGTCATGGCACAAATGCCAGTTCTGGGAGCAATGCACTGAGGACACAGTGTGCATCTCAGGGCACATCCATGTCCTCCACCACTGCATTTGCTGGCCAAGGGGCTGGGCTGCATCCTTCCTAGGGGATTTTGGGTGTGCCTGGCAAGAGCACATCACCAAATTTTGCACCTGCCTTTTCCATATCTGTAACGAGGCACCTGACACCCTGAAACCCCCCGGTGTGTGCCCTGGTGGGGTGGACTCAGAGCTGCCCCTTAGCCGGGACATTCAACATCTCTCAACTTTCTGCCTTTGAACGCTTGCAGCAGCTGGAGCAGTGAGCACACAGGGGGTGTGGTGGGGTTTTTTTCGTTTTAACAAGGATGAAAAGAAATTTGCTAATTAAAGGAAAAAAAGAACTCTAAAAAATACCCTGTTTGTCTTCCGCACGTCCTCTGACCCTTCTTTCTCCCATCACTGCCCAGTGGAGCCCAGGAGGTGACCCATGGTTCCCTAGACTGATCCCCAGCACCAGGTCCCAGCTGGCTGCCATCTGCTGTCACCAGGGCACACGTGTGCCCCAATGGAAGCTCCAGGTATCCTTTGGACTTGCTGCTGCTCACCCTCAACTGCAAAGGATCCCAGTTGTTGGGGCAAGGAGGGCTGGTCATCCACCTTGTGTGGTTTTAGGCTGCCCAGCTTGTAATGCCTTCAGTGTCCTGTGTTGGGTGTCTCCAAAGGTTTGTGTGCCTTCTGAAATGTAGATATCCAGAGACATTTGCTTCAGAGGGTTCATCCCTTGGGATAGGTGGTGAGGAAGGCTGGGGAGACACCTTCAGTACCTGCAGAAGGGCAGGGGATAGCTTTGTACCATGATGTGGGTGGGCAGAGAAGGTGTTCGTAGCAGTTTCCAGCACCACTTCTGTCCTGATGGGAGCCAGCCCCCCTGCACATCAGGGATGGCCATCCCATGGGATAGGCTGTGGTGCCAAGTGAGGTGGGGATCCTCCACACGTGGCTCTGGAGTTGTCATGTCACACACCTTGGGCCTGTCCAAGCTTCCACATTGTAGGACAGCCCTTAGTCCCTTGAGTTTTCTCCTGCCTTGTCCCAGGCTGTTGGTTCCCATGACTCGTGGAGAAGGCAGCAATGGTTGAAGAGTGTGTGTTTGTTGGGAAAAGTGAGAAATTGGGCTGATGAAAAGGCCTGACCCTGTATTGGAGCACCCTGCTGGGCCATTCCCTTCAAGCCTGAGTCTGTCCTGCTGCTAAAACAGGTGCTGCTTCATCCCCAGGGACGTACGTAGGAGGTAGCTTGGCATTACAACAGGGACAGCCCCTATCTCTCCTAGCCAGGAAACCTCGCAATCCCATGTCCTTCCTTGTGGGAACCATTGCTTTCTAGGCTTGGAGATGGAGTTTTCCTCACCCATGCCTGTGGGAGCATCACATGGAACATTTCCAAGTGGTCCAGCCACAATACCTTTGAGTGGAGTCAGGCTGGGGACAGAAGGGCTTGAATTCAGCCTCCTTTGGCCACTCCTGAGCAAGAGTTCACTCAGACCTCAGCTTGATGGGCTGGTTTGGGGCAAACACAAGGAGGACAGACTTGGCTTTATGTAGCATCAACCCAATCACCTTAAAAATAGAGAGCTTCGAGCAGTCCTTGACCTAGTACAATCCATGTGGCCAAACCCTGAGCACCTCTGGCTGGCAGAGTGGCATCTTGATACTCCTCAGTCTATGAGTCACAGCAAAAAAAAACCCAAATCATGCTGCTTTAATTGTCCTCACTTTTTTCTTTTTTTCTTTTTTTTTTTTCATGGGTATCTTCCCCCTTCCATCCTGCAATGCGCTGTCACCTCCCCGTGTGCTGCTCCATGAACAGGACACCTTGGCAGCCCAGGAGCTGCTGTCCTTGCCTGGAGGGCTGAATCCAAGGTTTCTCTGGGTTGGACTGCAAAATATTGGGGATTTTTTTTACATGGACTTGGGCTCCTTCCTCTGAGGTACCAACTCCTCAATGTTTTGGCCTAGAGTGAGTTACGAAAGGGAAAATTAGGGGGTCTTCAAAGGGGGATTTGGGTTAGAAATCTCAAAGAAGAACCTAAGACAAAAGTCTTGCGTCAGTTGGGCAAGAGGGAAGGTTGAAGCTCAGTAGACACAGCAACAGAGTGTGGCTAAGCAGCCAAGGGCTCATGGCTTGGTCTTAGGGTCTCTCCTTGTATGTTAATCCTTGTTTCACCTTAGATGCCAAGGTGTTGAAAGGAGAGCCTTAAAAATCTGATGTGTTTGCCAACTCTCTTATTGCTGCTTGTTTCCATTGTGTCCTGGCAGATGTCACAGGGAACAGACACCCCACGGCTTTGGCTACAAACCAGCCACCTCATCCTGCCCTTCTCTGCAGAAGCAAAGGCTCATACTGGGTTTTATACCTCCTTACACCTATCCACCCCCTCACCCCCTCCATGGAAAGCGCCTGTCCTTCCATAATTTACAGGAACAGGGCTCCAGACTGGTAGCTAGAGCTATGGAGACCCAAGGGATGGCAAAGCAGAGATGGCCTAACCATCAAAACAAGAGATTTAGGGCTTTACCCAGCAACCAGTCATGGCTGAACCTTGTGTGGGGAAATAAATCTGAGCAGGGCAGGGATTCCTAGTTGTGTCCTCTCACACGTGTGCTCTTACGTGTCCCTTCTGTTCTTCATTTTCCAGTAGCAATGGAGCACATGGAGGAGGTGGTGGTGGTAAGAGAGGCAAGGTGGCTGTCACAAATGTCCAGCTCTGTATTTAAGAAAGTTCTGTTGACATGTATTTGAAGACTTTGCATTTGTAAATTCATGGTATGAGTCTTGCAGTCAGGCTGACACTGTAGTGCTTGGGCTGGGAGCTTCAGAGGAGGAGGTTTATGAGGAACAGATTTCCCAAGAAAGCAGAGTCTTCCTCTATCCACAATAGAACGAGTCCTTTTCTTTTTTTATTTTTTTTTCATTGGATTTCTTTGGTTTTTATTAGTCCCAGTGGGAAAGCACACAGGGAGATTCGTGACTTCCATGCAGTTTCCAAGGTCTTACATCTTAGTTGCTTCCAGCGCGCTGGGTAGGTGCAGTTTGACGGGTGGGTTTGGATGGGATATTGTCTGGTGGGAGAAAAATGTAGCTGGTTTCTTAGCAGTGGGGGGATCCTGGGCTGGCTGTGGTCCTGCTCACAGGCTCTAGCAGACATTCCCGGGAAGGGGGGCGTTCCACTGAGCTGCTCGGCTTCCCTTCAGACGATGATCTCCCAATGAACTCTCCCCTTCCCTGCTGTTCCTTTCTGTGCAACAAAGAGCTGCATATTTTCCTTTTTAACCCCCTGGGCAATCATAGTAGTATGTAGATTAAGCCCAGATGACTTTTTTTTTTTGTTGGTTTTGTTGGTTTTTTTTGGTCTGAGCCATAGCTAAATTATTATACCCAATGCTTTTTGTATCAGACGGCATCACTTTGAATATGCAGATGAGGTATAGGATCTTGACACTTTATAACCTTTTTAAAAAGAAACCTGTCTGTTTACTTAATGTCTTGTGTAAAAAGGAAAAAAAAAACAATGTATGCCTTCAGTAATCACTTTTTTGTTGTTGTTGTTTTTTGAGTTTTATGAAATTACAGTGGTTACACTCCAGCAGCGAAATAAAAAGCGTTCACTGTTTTGTACATCCCTGTGTGCCTGGTGCTGCTGATGGGAGTTGTCAGGAGGTTGGAGGCAAAGGCAGAGTGAGACTCTGGCCAAGGGTGAAAGTGCATGGGGGAATTGTTCAGGCTGGAGAAGAGAAGGCTCCAGGAAGACCTTAGAGCACCTTCCAGTAACTAAAGAGGCTACAAGAGGGCTGGAGAAAGACTTTTGCAAGGGCCTGAAGTGACAGGACAAGGGAGAATGTCTTCAAACTGACAGAGAGTAGGTTTAGATTAGATATTAGGAAGAAATATCCTGTGAGGGTGGTAAGGCCCTGGCACAGGTTCCCCAGAGCAGCTGTGGATACCCCATCCCTGGAAGTGTTCAAGGCCAGTTGTAATGCCAAGTGTTCAAGACAGGACTTGGAGCAACCCAGTCTAGTGGAAGAGGTCCCTGCCCATGGCAGGGGGTTTGGAACGAGATGATCTTGAAGGTCGCTTCCAACCCAAACCATTCTGTGATTCTATATCCAGTAGAGCATGGCCCAACCTTGTTTGGACCTGGGAGTACACCCAGAGGAGACTACTCATACTCTACCCCATCTGGTCAGTGCTTCACCACTGGCACAGACCACCTGTCAGACATGAAAACAGGCTTTGCACATAAAATCAATTGGGTTTTTAACTCTTCCCCCCATGACTAAGGAAGGCAAAGACCAGAGTCTCCATGGTGGCTGAGGAGACAGATCCTACATGAACAGGCTAGTAAGCAAGGAAAGCTGACACGAATCGTGTGATTTCCCAAGTCATTACACAGAGTCGGGTGGGAGAAGGGGGAGGAAACTCCCCATGTGCTGCTGAAGGCTCAGGAAGGCTTTTAAGCCAGATGCCAGCTTGGAAGAGGGTAGACTTGAAGCGGGTGGTGTGGCCAGAGCTGTCCTTGGATTCTCCCAGCAATTCCCAAGTGCTAGGCAAGGCAGATCTTTATCTCCTCACAGGCTTTGAACCACACAGCTGCAAGGGGCACTGCCTCTGCCGTTGTGCAAGAAGCAGCTGGGCCTTCAATCAGCCTAATTGCTGCCTCACCTCTCCACCAGGAGGGCCGGGGGGACTGCTGAACGCTGCGTGTGCTCTGGAGAAACACCCACCTGCACTCCTGCCTGTACACGCTGTCTCCTACCTCCTGCATTCCTCCTTGCTCTCCGTCACTGAACAACGTGCACCCCTGTGCAGGCCAAATCCCAGCTCTCCATGTTAGGCTGCTGCCACTCTATGCACAGATTCCTGCCCTCCCTAAGAAAGTCCATAAAGTTAGGGGTTTACTGAAAGGTCTAAGTTGGCCACTCAGGGACCTGTCCAGAGAAGCTGTGGATGCCCCACCCCTGGAAGTGCTCAAGACCAGGTTGGACAGGGTTTTGAGCAACCTGGTCTGGTGGAAGGTGTCCCTGCCCATGCCAGGAGGTTGGAACAAGATGATCTTTAAGGTCCCTTCCATCCCAAACCAGTCTATGATCCTATTCTATGATTCTATGATCTCTTCCCAACTGGTGTCATGGTGCCTTAACCCATTCTCAGTTGATGATGTTGGTACCTGCAAGCCCCATCACAGCCCCATATTGCAATGCCTTCAGTCCTGCAAACACTAACATCAGTGAGATCCCTCCTGCTCTAGGTGGGTGTCCCCCGATTGGTCTCATCCCTGACTCCCTTTCCAGTCATCAGAGATCAAGAGACAACACTCCTGAGAATTGATTCAGGAGGGACTGATCTCATCCTGGCACGGACACTTCTTCCAGAGCTCCAGGACCACAGAGGGACCCCAGACCTCTTAGCTCACACAGAGACATCCACACTGGAGACATCCAAAGCCTTGGGAGATGACCCATGGCTCACAGCCCACTCTGTCCATGTTATTAACCTACCTCAGCATTCCAGCTCTCCACAGAGGCATGGAAGCAGAGGTTGCAAGGTCTCAATAAAGCCTCAACCAGCCATAGTCCAGGCTCATGAGACTGCATAAAAAAATGCTTTCTGAGGGTCGCCTTGCTCCTTGTTTGCTATGTGCTGAACCATGGTGAAGCCTTTTCCTGCTTATTTTGGACTGCTGCTGGCTGTCATAGCCAGCTCTGGCTCTCCTGCTGTGTCACAGCACAGCTCTCATCACTGCTCCCAACAACCTGCTTGGGATCAGCCCTCTGCCAACACCTCCACCTGAGGACATCCTGCTGCCTGAAGGGTCTTCCGGCTTCCCTCTAGGCCCAGGGAGTCTTGCACCATCACCTGTGCAGGGGTGAAGGTCTCACCTCCCCCCAGGATCTGGGGGACCCTGTGGGTCTGGGCACGAGGCACAGGAAGGTGGGAGGTTCTGCCCTGCTTCTTGATGAGGTATCTGGAAACTCCCATGCACTCGGGCTGGGAGGGAAATTAAAATGTTTGCAACAAATATAGCTGAAAAGTCAAGCGGGGCATTAGGCACCGCTCGGCAAAGGCACAGGAACGCCGATCGCCGGGGGTGGGTTTTGCCCTGGGAGCTTTCCCTGCGAACAGAACGAGGAGGGGAAGGACTCTGCCCTGAT